TTTATTAAAAAGAACTATCTGTCCGATTTTGAAACTTGTTGGAAAGAGGCCTGTTTCTAGAAATTTATTTATTAGATTGAAAAATAGATAGGGAAAGTTCTTGTGCAGGATCTTGATGAATTGGTTATCAATCCCGTCCGGCCCAGGTGCTTTTTTGTTTGGCAGGATCTTAATTATTTTTGAAATTTCAAAGGAACAGAATGAAATATCGTCATTTGTTTCTGGGGGGACAATTTAAAGCGATCATTCTATAAGGTATTTTCTCCCTCCTTTCGACATGCCCTCGTTGTGAAACGGTCAGCACGCTCGGCGCGTATTCGAGAGGTTCATGGTTCGAGTATCGGCGAGGGCGTTGCTCATTTTTCACACCTCCTACTTCAGAATAACCTAATGTCTCTACAGTTCTTTAAAATAAATGCAGTGTTGCCGTTTATTGGCAGACGATTAACTAAATGTTTTATTAATATTTAAAATAGGCTAAATGGCAAAACCGAAGTAAAACCAAACTTTTTGGCACAGATCAGAAGTGGATGGTCAGGAGTTACCAAAGGCATCTAAAACCTTCTCGAATGTCGAATATTCATAATTTACGTTACATGTTGGAGACAACCTTCGTATTTTGCAGTACCAAATTTGTAGTACGAAAATTTCGTACCAAATGTAATAATAATTATAAATTAAAGACACCAGACAGTTATAAATTAACGACATCAGAAGCGAATACCATTGATTGGCATCTTTAACAGGAAAAAAAATCAACTTCAAATTATTCTAATGAATTTATTAACCGACTTTTCAATGCAAATTCAAAATGATACCAGAAAAGGGAAAATTTTGAAATTAATTATCACGGTCAATTTTTGTCGTACTAGAGGGAAACTTTTACTTTTTATAAGGAGTATAACATTTTTCTAAATATACGTTTAGTGACCGGAGGAATATATAGAAACTAAGATTTCGTAATTTGTACAAAACGGTCTTCTTAAATTCAAAAATTCGGTAACATGTATAATTATGCGCCATTTAAAATGGTTTTATAGTTGGAAGTACGTGCATGTTTACGACCAACGGTTTTTAAAATAAAGGCGGCGTAAACGACGTCCATGGACATAGTGTATGTAAAAAATCATCCCCCCCCCCAAAAAAAAACTTACCTGAAAACTATTAAAAAGAAGAGAGATTTCTTGATACAAATAGTAAAACGCTCATGAATATATTACTTATATGGATTGAAATTAAGTCGATTTTACTTATGTATTTTGAAAACATGGTCTACATAATATTGAAAGTGAAGTATTAACGTCGGAGAATGTTCAGAATGTAACTAAAATTACAAACATTGGTTCATCTTTTCAGAGCTTTTATAGCATATTTCAATCAAAACCATTTGCAGAGAGTACGATTATAGTCTCGGTGATCCTGTGTAAGTAAAAATACTACAATTATGCATCGTTATATATATATATATTAAAAATAATTTGACATCTAAAAGAATTTTCAGTAAAGGCAGAGGACTCACCTTTTTAATCATAAATATTCTGTCAACATTTTTCCAATATTTGTACAGCCGCAACATAGTTAACTTATGAGCACCAAAACACTCAAATACAAAGAAACAGAATGAAGTTTTCTAGGAAAAGCAAACGAAATTTAAATGCACCCATTTAGAACAGCTGCGGTTTACAGCTGCTTTCGATTTCAATCTGAAAACATTATTCGATTCATAATAAAGAGAAGATAGTGAAGATGATGTAGCATGAAAAACATAGCCAAGAACGAATGAATTATTCTTTTGAAGAACACCGCACTTAAAATATCATTAATTGTTCTGATTCACACAAAGCAGTTTAAGTTTTCTATAGCCGAGAAAAACAAATGCTCTTCACCGAGCATATGTTTAGAATGTCGGGCTGTCGAAAGATGTGTGTACGCCTACAATGTTAAGAGTTAGAAGCTCTTCCTTATTTATTCTTTTATCTTCGCAACAAACGGTCCATTTTCTTGGAATGTAGATAATCAGAAAAAGGAATATTTCGGTTTTTATTGCAGTATTATGACTATTATAAATTACACCTTTTTTTTCCTTTTTCTTCCCCCCCCCAGAATCGATCGAAAGCAATTTTGCATTTCAAAGACATTCGCTAACTTTGAAGATCTTTAGAGCTTTGTGTCATACTCTGGTAGCTCGAATCATTATATTGAAAATAATATGATGTTTTCTAATTGCTCAGTGATACTAATTAAATAAATAATTTAACCTCTAAAAGACAGCTATTTAATTTTATCTTTTGAAATCGTCAACCACATGTATTCTTCTCCCCTTTTTTTAAAATATCAAAATATTTTCACAAATTTCATGAATTTAATATATTAATTGTGAATCCTCGATATATTTTAAAATTTCCTTAGTATATTAATGAACTGCTTCAGTATTATATTTAGAAGTTGCAACAATGATATAAATGCAATATGCAGAGTGTTCCCAAAATAATGATTTACTCTCTTGGAATATTAAAAACAAAGAAATTTTTAAAGATGACTGGATTAGATATTTGAAATACTATTAAAAGCTGCAACATTTACTTTGAGTGTGTGACAGCGAACTGAATTAGGAGTTCTTTCATTTTTATTTTTGGAGGTAGTGAGTGTTGGAGTACAAAAAAATGGCAGAGCTGTTAAAAAAGGGAGGGCACTACTTCCCTCCCTTTTTTAACAGCTTTCAAAAGTAAGAATTTGTATCAGGTGCAAAGAAGATTTTGATATCCCGCCACAATATCAACCATAAAACTTTGAAAAAATCTTACATGAGAAAAACACTGTGTGTTTTAAAGAAAGAATGGTGTAATAGCAAGAAAACAATACTGAAAGAAGGATTTAGAAGCCGCTCAACCTATTCACTCTGACTGCCGTACCGAAGGGACAGGGTTAGAATCCCGGCATGGTTGTTTGTAAACGGCAATGGCATGGCGACACTCTAAATAATATGCCACGAGCTTTAATCCTCTCGAAAGAATGTTGGTAGGGAAATAGGGGTGGGAAACCGTCGGACCTGTTCCCCCCCGATGCTCTCCATCAAAATTGGGGGCGGAACTGAGCAAAGGCGTACTGTCACCAGTATAGCGCTCAAGGCTCATGCTAACGACAGACGCAGTCTTGCACTCCTTGCCACGATGAATTTCGTGAGCTTGATCTGATGCTGCTGTCAGACAAGTGAGATAAGTCACATCAACAACGACAGGAATTAGGAAGTAATAATTAAAGACTTTTACAAAATCCAAGCAAAAGAATAGCAACGGACAATGCATGACATAGGACATGGAACTGAAATTATCTGAGCTTACAACAAATTTGCAAAATCTCTACCAAAGTTGTTTTTAGCTTTAAAATTTAATACTTAAATAATAATAATTTTGTAAGTAATTTAATGAGTAAACATGATATGATTATTTAGTTACGTACAGAACTCACTTGATAGTTAGCTCGGGCAATGAAACCTTAACTTTTTTGTAAGAAAATATGTCTTTTAAAAAAGCACGCAGGCAGTTTATAACTGGAGATACATTCCTAGCACAAGCACAGCCTGCAACATATAAAAAATTATGGCCTTTAATTTTCGTTTCACGTTAAAAGAATTTTGTGAATAAATGGATTATAAGTATCAAACGTTGGAATTAACGATAAAAAATTTTGCACAAATCCTAACAGAATCGAAAACTGAATATCAAAAATCCTACAACAATTCCCGATATTTTTTATTATAAAATTCATTAAAGGCCTATCATTGCTGCTGACATTAAGAACTCGAGACGTGCGTTTTATATAAGTGGAAATTCACGGAAGGAAGCTCAATATTGTTATTAAAAGTTCTACAGATAAGAATTTTATGAAAGAGCAAAATCAGGTTTTTGCAATGTTATTTTCTTAAATTTTGCATTTAAATTTTTATATTATTATTAATTTTCACCACTTGGTTTTTCAGTTTTTTGAGACATCAACTTACACGCGCAATACTGATCTACTTTTAGAAAAATGTAGCAAATTAAATTAGCTACGAACAAAAATAAAAATGTAAAACTTTTTGTACATGCGAATGCATATTATTTCCTTCACGGGATTTATATTAAAATAGATATTTTAGCGGAATTTAGATTATGGAAAATGTATTAAAAAATAACGTTCCTTTTAGGTACAGCATATTTTTCGAAAATAATGAAAACAATAATAAGACAATAAAATAAGATTTAAAACAATGCAATAATAAACTTTACTATTTTTTATTAAAATAAATCTGATCATGTATAGAGCTCTCTTCCAATTAATTGGGATAAATGAGTTCTATTGCATGTGTGTTTTAAGGAATAAAAAGGCTTCTCTGTTTATAAATTTATAAACTTAAAAAAAAAAAAATTATAATTTAGAAATAAAAAAATTAGTAAAATGAATGAAACAAAATTGAAAGAAAGACATGTTGTGATTTGTTTAAAAGTAAATTTTGCTTTTATATTTGGAATCAAACTTGATCTCTTTATACAAACCTTAGCTTTAAACTTTTGTTAAAAAAATACACAACTCCACAGTGTTAAACCAGAATTAGGAGCAAACTTCACTTTTTCTAAAAATATCCTTTCATATTTTTGATAATACAATCACAGCTTTAATAAATATTATCTACTTCTAGTTCAAAGACGTCATATGAAGAATAGGCAAATTTTCATATTCGAACTCTTCAATTCAAATAATTTTCATTCATCTATTTTGTCTTTCGGAAAGGAATTTTAACATAATTAGGAGTAAAACATATTTTTTTCTAAAAATCCTTTTTTATGTTTACCACAGCGCACTACTTTAACAATTATGTCAAGTTCTAGCTTAGCAACTTTGAAAGATTACGTATGAAAAGATGTTTAGATGTCATATATTTCATCAACATTTTGTCTGTGGCAAAATAGGAGGAACATGAAAATCTACCTTACCGTATACCAAAGCAAACTGAAACCTACCTTCTCAGATAGTATGCCCACTTTCTCCGTGATTTTAAACGAGATCTTACGATCACTGGTGAACGCTTTCTCCTCAACCACTGACCCATTTAGACACTTAACATTCTAATTAATCGTATGCCGCAACCTTGCTTCATCCTGGAATATCCTTTTTTTCAAAGCAGACAAATTACATCGAGGTATAGCGGAACATTGGAGCATCAACAACTCTTTTTTGGATTGTTATGGCTGCCAGACACAATTGGAAGGAATCTGACGCATTCGAAACTCAGGGTGACAGAGGCCCCGCCCACTTGATGGTATTATAAATGATGATTGACGTGTGATATCTTCTTTGCTTTGTTTAGAAACTTTTTCAAATACTTTTTTTTCTTTCTGGAATCTCTCTTGCTTTCTTCAGCAGCTTCTAATGAAGAAGATTCATCTGATGGAAGATTAGAGGTCTCGTCTGACCACATCTGGGTGTATGCGGGTCAAGGGACGCGTGTAATTATAGAGAAAACTGAGTAGATGGTTTTTGTTTTAGGATGATATCTGTTCAAAAAGGAAAAGTTGGAAACGGGTTTAAGTACTGTTTGATATGCTTTGTATGAAAAAGAAATTTGCTTTCACCTCTCTGCATTCACTGAACACTCAAGTTTACAAAATTCCACGTATGTGAATCAAAAATATTCTTATTCTTGCTATTCTCGAGCAATAAGTATTTTCTTTTGCAAGCGCAAATGCAGCACTTAATACACACGAATGCAATTTGGTTGTACTGAATAATAGCAAGAAGTAATATATTCAAATCCGTATCTAGACTTTAATCAGCTATTTTCTGAATGTTTTCATAGACACTTTTCCTCTACTTTTTTATAGTTTTGTTACGTTTTTATAGCGAATTACAAATTCATTTTAAAGCATCTTAATATGTTTTTTAAATACTGTGATTTTAATTTAATACTGATTCCAACAATGCAATATATTCTTGTTCGAATATTTTCTCGGAAATTTCAGGTACTATTGAGATTAATTTTTAATCACTTAAACAAGTATTCGTGTGGAAACGTAAAGAAAACATGGTGATAGTTTGTATAGTCATTAGGTTCTTTTTGGAAGCAGAAGTGAAAAATGAGCAACTCCTTCACCGGGAATCGAACCACAGACCTCTGGAATACGCTCCCAGCGTGCTGACCACTACACTACGAAGGCATGCTATGAAGGCGGAAAAAATACCTTATAAGTTCTGCTATATCCCAATCCACATTAGGTAGTAGATTTTAAGTCTCTAAAGTGGATTAAAATTCATTGTCGTATTTAATGTAGTTAACGTAATGTGACATAAATTATGTCCCAGCCTCCAAGAAGAGATTGAGAATAAGCCACATCTCAGATTGCTACTTTACTTCTGGTACACAACTACAGAAAGAGTTTTAACTAGAACTTTGAAAATTTACCTCATTATGGGACTTTTAGGGGTCAATTTGTAAATTATACACATTAAAAACGAAAGCAACATACATTATTTTGCCTTATTTTGATATGTTACTGAATTATAAGTCCTTTTGAAGGATATTGTTTTTTCTAAAAAACGTACACAAAGCATTTAACTTTTCCAAACATGTAGAAAACATTCTAAACATAGACATAATAAAATACGGTGAATATGTTAAGAAACAATCGGCGACCATAAAATTGACTATTCTAAATTTTATGTTCTCCCCCTAAGTTCATCTGTTTTCCCAAGTTCGAGATCTTTCCAAATTACATACACTGCTTAAAATGAGAACTAGAACCTAAAAATTAACCAATCGTCGTTAGCTTTACTTATGCACCTACCTAGCCTCATAATGCTGAATTACCTGGCTTCGGCTTTGTCTCAACTCCTCCTGCCATGCAAAACCTCTGCTGCTATCCTTATTTGTCTAAGATGACGTCATTCTTTAAAACCGTGTACATAAAAATTTTCATATTTAAATATGGTTGGATAAATACCTTGTCTACAAAAATGATTTGATGTGAACTGTCATGGAATAAAAGTATGTTTCGAAACGGCCACATCTGAAAGTTGTTGGTTTATACATCCATCTGTCGAATTACGCACTTAAAACATTACATATATATCTTTATATATATAAGCGGCTAAAGTGTGTGTCACTAATAGTTTATTGTTGACACTGGGAAAAATGAGCGCGGAAATTAACGTTTCCGCAGTTTTAAATTAATATCTCAACTGATTAAAGTCGTACGAAGATGAAAACGGTATCGATGGATTCGGAGAATTTTTTGGAATCCGAGGATACGCGTCTCGAACTTCAACTCCGCGCCGTTCTTTAGATATTCGAGAAAAACGAATTTGGCACGTAGACAAATCCTTCTAATAGAGAAAACCCAAGAAAGAAAGTGGAAAATGTAGGGAAAAGGTAAAGGAAAATTAGTTTTTAATTAATAACTCGGCTAATTAAAGTCCCAAGAAGTCGCGAATGGTCAAAATAGCTTCGGAATCCAAAGGTGTGCTTCGCTAAGCCCGGGAGCCAGCCGTTTCGAAGAAGATGATGTTACTTCACCCCATGTATATATGCGGCGTAAGTGTCTGTTTGTCGCCAATAGTTTATTGGTTGCTTACGTAACTGTACTAGCCAATTGGGTGAAGCTGCCACGGCACAGGGTTACCGTTTCAATTGAGACGTAGACAATTTCCTGTAAAACTTGCCTTTGCTACGACTATAAGTCTCAGGACCAAACGCTTAAGCGTGTTGGCAATTTTTTACCTGAGCCTGCATTTGGACACGGTCAACTTTATGTTGCCTGTTCAAGAGTTCGTGAAAGAACGGATGTAAAATTAAAATTAATGGATGGTCCTCTGTAAGGCGAGCTTAAAAATGATGCAAAGTTTACACAAGAAATGTTTGTGTACAAAGAGACCTTTGACCTGTGAATTAACATTTCATTATTTAAATCACCTTTATTGATTGAGCCAGCCTTGGCTCTTAAGAAATGTACCGCCAGTGGTTTCCTTCATTGCACTCTACTTTAAGCAATTAAGCAAGTAGAAGGGGGAAACCCCGTGCGGCAGTAAGCAAAGGGGCGTCCTCGCCGCCTGCCCTGGGTAATTCAGCTTAAATTAGCAGACACCTTTGCACAAATCATTTTAAGTACAATTTATAATATCTAGAACAGCGGTCATTTGGTATGACCGCCGGGCCTTCTAGTATATATGTGTATATATGTGTGTGTAATAATTTCAGGAGTAGGAATTTTAATGGCGTAGAAGTGTTGATCCATAATGACTAGGAAATTGGAGGCGAATGCAGATTAAATCTTCAGTTTTATTTTCTGCATACGGCTACACACAAGTCGGCATATTAAATGGCCTTGTTCCAAAAGGCTTACATTTTTGGCAGATTTGCAGCAAAAAAGAAGCAGACAGATTGCACTCCAGCTAAGGCAAAGCGTAGAAAGAAAGTGCGTTAATGTTCAGGATGAAATCTCAAGTCAGACTGAGTTAGTTTTGTTTTCAAAGCCTTTTGATTGGACAGTTAATATTGCTGTAAAATTACTATTGGCTGGTTGAGTATCATTGGCATTGGCATTCGAAATGACGCATTGCAGAGAAGGGTTACTATTTTTAGAATTGTGAAGGGTAATTTACGTTGCTAATTTAATCTTTTACATATTCTTTATTTTTATTACATACATATTCATATATACTGATAATTATATAAGTTTAGTTAAGTACTTATAGTTATAATACTTATAATTAAAACAGTATCAAAATAAAGTAATTGAAATCTTCTTTAATACGTGTCATGTCTTGTATATCTCTGCCTATGAAACCTTAAAAATCTTGTTCTATTTGTCTTCATTTCAGAACTATGTTTCATGATTTATTATTCAGTGCATCTCTAAAGAAATTGAAATACACTTGAATTGTTCTTGAAAAGAATATTAATGCATATTTTCTTGGCGGCGCTGTGAAGTTACACTACGACAAAGAAGCGCGTATTGAAACAGGTATAGAATTGTCAGCTACGCCCAAACACCTCGAAAAATTTGCATTTTGATTTTTTGACTGCGTAATGGTCGTGACCTTTTACCTCCATAACTCTTTTTCAAGTATGTAACAGGTATTTTAGGTGTGGTGTTCTTTTGACTATTTCGACGTTAGTCTGAAAATAAGATGTTTGAAAATGGTTCTATGACTAAATAGATTTTAAAAAATTGATCACAGACCTGTTGTTCCAGTTTAGAAAACGGATCAAATAAGGTAGGATTTCAGATTACAATAAATTTGGGACGCGACATGTTCTGTCGAAACGGATGAAATTTTAATTTTTGTACAGTTCCCTTTCGATTTAGTTGATTATGACAAAGTAATATAGGCTTTGCTATAATCAACCAAACCGAACCGGACTAAAAGAGCTAACAAGGGGCTTAAGAAGAAGTAAAGGATGTCTATGTGGAGGAGGACTTTCTAGGAAATTTGGCTTGTATCCACCTTACACATTGGGAAAAACACGAAAACGCGTATCCTTTCACTTAGATTCGAAACCCAGGTTGAACTGCTAGTGGATAGCGACTTTGTCGCTCGGCCGCTGATGGAGCTTAATTTATGTAAGTTCCGTATGCAATAAAACCTATAATTAATATATTTATTCCCATTCTACTACAGTTCGTTTAGCAATCATCCGGTTCTATGAATTACAGAATTAGCTGAGGAAGGCTTGCTAGAATTATGTGATTTAAATTTCTTTCAGTCGATCGAAACATGGCTGTAAATATCGATCAAAAGGGCCCATAAAAACAAAATTTTGTTATATGCAAATATTAGGATTATTGCAAAAGGAAACTTGGATTATTACAAAAAGAATTTGAAAGTCACTTCTGCAACGGTAGAGCTACATAACTATTCTAAAATATAGATTTCGTAATATTTATTGACATATTATTATTATTAGTCCAAAGGGACAATTTGCCCTGAATGACTATAAATTTCGTTTGGGAATTTTGTGTTGGTTCACTATAAATGTCCGATTCATTTTTCAAATTGTTGTCACCAAATATTATCGCCCTGTATTATATTCAAAGATATTAAGTAATGAAGAATATGCATAAATGTATGTATGTTTCTCGCATTGTGATAAAACAACGTTATTTAGAGCCATCAAATTTGAATAACGTAAACCTCCTGCGAATATGGGCATCTGGAAGGCCAAATTTGAAATTTGGAATTTCTTTTATTATCGAT